CATTTTTTAATGTATGACCTGCATCACTGTGCAGAAGACTGCCATATGATAGCGCTTTCTAACTTGTTTGTCGTTTTGGTAACTACATCAAAATTACCGCTAGGTGGACAAAAATCACACTGGCGGAAAATCACCCGCCTTTTTCAAATCACGCGAGAATGTGTACAAAACAACAAAAATGGCGCCGGCAATGATTCTGGGTCATTTTCATCGAATGTCGGTGATTTTAAAGTAACTTTGAGTGATAAATAATTTTTTTGCCATCGGGCAAGTGCAATGATCGCATTTGTTCTCTCCCAACAATAGAAACGACTTTCCCCGGGAGATCGAGCCCTGTATACTGTCGAATCCAGTTTTAAGTACAGTTTACATCCCACTGAAGTTGTTTCCATTATTGTTTGTGATGCGTTACGATATTGGATGAAGTTGAATGTGATTCAGTGTAATTGTTAGGGTTTAACTAAAAAAAAAAAAATCTAGTTTGATGCCCCCTGAGTTATATAGAATTGAGTAGAGCCCGGGTTTAGCTGCTTTAGCTTAGCACATTTTAATGGCTGGTCAACGGTTGCATGGATTACTGCACAAAATGACGTAAAGTTCATTGTTGCACACACCAAGTTGTTCAGAAGATATTTTAAAGAAAGTTTTTTGTGCAGGCACATGTCCTGGCTACCAGAAACTGCTTAAATTTTTTTTCCTTCAGTCCCACTAATCATTTAGTTTGGCATTATTGACATAAAAACATGTCAAGTATAATTTTAATGAAAAGAAACAAAAGCTGACTACAAACTTTTAAAAAATAAAAGCTATCTGAAGCAGACCAACAGTGCTGGAGTGGATCTGGTCACATTAATTCCTTTCACCTGCATGTTTTCTGGTCATGTGATGAATTACAGCAATTCTCTTCTGATGCTGTTGGGTTAATTGATTGGCTTCCTCTGTGTAAAGCCCCACAGCTTCTATGCTGTTATCCCAGAGGGCATGATTAAAAAAAAGACTTTAAAAAAATAATGATTGTGGCTCTGAAGGAAGCTATCACAGGGAACTGGGTGAAAAAGAAGCCACCTTAGGTAAAGCAACGGATGGAAGTAATGAAGATTTGAATTGAATGCCTTTAATTGGATCTGCCAAAAAGGCCAAAAACTTGAAGACTTTTATTTTTACGGCTTTGACTGAACTAAAATTCTCACTAAAATTTCCTTTTTTAATTTTTAATCTCTTTATTGTTTGTCTTGTTTATTAAATCATGCTGAAAAAGGTCAAAATAAAGAGTAGAAACAGTTGCGATAAATTAAGATCCGTTGAAAGTCCATTAATGGGGGAGTTTCTCCTCTGAATTTACCCCGTACCTTCGGGAGTAGTGTGCTGCAGCTCTGAGTCTTCCAGGAGGCGTAATGTGAGGTTAAGGACCCAGAGTAACATTCTTGAATTTCACATCTGCAATTTAGCAGCAGCAACTTTTCAAGGACCTCTATAGAAATAATTGATAATCTGTTAGACTCATCTCTCTCTGTGGACGAGTCTAAAATCAGCTTCAAACAAAATCAGATGTCAGTTTCAGTCAAATGTCTTCTGAATGACAGATTGACTGATTCTCTGCTAAAACCAGATGAAAGGATTTCTTTTTCTTTTGTTCTGGAAGATTGGATTGATATCTTCAATCACACTGAACCTAGATTAAATAGTTATGTTTATGTAATGTAGCACAGGCTTTAGACACACGTTTAAGTATTTAATTAGTTCATTTGGCAGAACTTTGTCTAATTCTGATGGTTAATTATAGTGCTTCTATAAAATAAAATCTTTGGTATGAATAGATATAAACACCATCATTGGTAAACATCTTCCACTTTGTCTTTATGGAGGTTTAATATAGATCTATGGTAACAGTTTACATGCTGCCAGCTGTGAAGCAAAACTAAAAACTTCTCAAGTCTGACCTTTTCCATTTATCTTGGTGATGATCGTTGGAAAGGAGAGAGAATCCAGAGTTTCTAAGCTCTGGCTTCGTAATCCAGTTCAGTTTATTTCTATGGCTCCAATTCACAACATATGTCATCTAAAGCACGTTACAGGTCACCAGATCAGCCAGCCAAATTTTTTATCTAAGGAAAACCAGCTGATTGCATCGACTCATTGACTCTTCAGCAATCCCTCACACTAAGCA